AATGGACACTGCTTTTGAGCTCTGGCTAGAGAAGCAGTCATGCGTCTGTCCTACTTTGCTCAAATTGACTGAATATGTCTGGACCGACACCTGTGAAAGTGAAGACCCCATGTGCACACAAGTGAGCTTGGAGTTCACTACTGCGATGCTACACTGTGGCCCAAGCTGACCGTGCCACTCTTCTAGAATCTTCTCTCAGGCAAGAAAGGCTGCCATATGATGCCTGAGCAAAAAGCCACAGAAACAAATTAAGTCTGACTTTCTGTAAATTCCAAAGTGGGGATGGTTCTCTATGACCATGGGAATCTGGGTGGGCAAGCCAGAAGTCCGGACACCAAACAGGCATGCCGAGGTGTCTTGTTGTCTCACGCAGACCTGGAGACAATCCTGTGGACCATGGAGGGCTTTTGTTAGCCTCCCATGTCTCTGGCCTTTTTTCTCTGATAATTCATCATATAAGTTCCCTGGTTAAAGGGGTTTCTCCTGGGGAAAAAAGATCCTCAAAATTTAAAAATATATGTAAGTAAAATATAAAAGCAGACCTCTGGTATATCAAGTTATACCATACTTTTTGTTGTTGTTTAGACATGATATTACTGTATCTACTTTTTTATTAAAATTCCAGTCATTTGGTGAGTTTAGTCTATCACTATTCTCCATAAGCCTTGTTACATTAAGACTTATTTATGCCATCCTAATTCCTGTTCTCTATTTAGTAGTGTTTTTCCTTTTCCTTTTTTATTTTTCTTCTTCTACTACTTCCTATTGGGTGACCCAAAGTTAGTTCTGCCACTTGTGAAGTTCACATCCTATTGTTCTAAAAAAAAAAAAAAAAAAAAGAGGGGCTGGCACCATGGCACAGTAGGTTAATCCTCCACCTGCAGCACCAGCATCCCATGTGGACGCCGGTTCAAGTCCTGGCTGCTCCTCTTCCAATCCAGCTCTCTGCTGTGGCCTGGGAAAGCAGTGGAAGATGACCCAAGTCCTTGGGCCCCTGCACCTGTGTGGGAGACTAGGAGGAAGCTCCTGGCTCCTGGCTTCAGAACGGTACAGCTCAGACCATTGCAGCCAACTGGGGAGTGAGCCAACAGAGGGAAGACCTTTCTCTCTGTTTCTCCCTCTCACTGTCTGTAACTCTACCTCTCAAATAAATAAATAAAATCTTTTAAAAAAAGAAATCATGCATTTATGTGTTTGAATGGCACAGACGGAGATTTTCTACATGCTGGCTCATTCCCCCTAAAGACCACAAACCCTAGGTCTGGGCTAGGTTGAAGCCAGGATCCAGAAACTCCATCCAGGTTTCCCATGAGTGTGGCAGGAGTCCAAGTACTTGAGTCATCACCTGCCGCTTCCCAGGTGCATTAGCAGGGAGCTGGGTCAGAAGTGGAACAGCCGGGACTCACACCAGACACTAACACAGGATGCGGATTCCCCAAGTGGAGGCTTCCCCTGCTGTGCCACAACACCTGCCCCGTCCTATTGTTCTTTTGCTGATGGTTGTTATTACTTACTTCACAACCATACTTGGGTCTGTTTTTCACAACAGTTTCTAACCTTAATCACTATCTGTATCTGCTTTTCAAAAGAAACCAACAACTCAGCTATTTTACCACTTCTGGTCCCTTGCCCTCCACCCTTCCATCAGTTTTCTGTCTCAGAATTTCATACCTAAGTTACCATACATTTTTTGGCCCTTTGGACATTGCTTATTTGGATAGCATATATTACTAAGTTGCTGGCATCCCTGTAATTCTCCTATCAAGTGGATTTTCTGGAATTATTCATTATTTTGTTGGACTACTTTCTCCAGGAGTGTTTTCAGAGTATGTCAGTTTATAGTCTAACTTTGAAGCCTTTTATGCCAGAGATCATCTTTCTTTCACTCTCACATGTCAATGAGAGGTCAGCTAGATATTAAAGTCCAGATCCAAATTTCCTTTTTCAAAAAATACTTTGGAAATATTAATCTAGCATACCTGCTGAAAAGTCAAATGTGAATCTGATTATTGTCTTCTCCTAAATGACCTGCTTTTTGCTCTCTGGAATTATTTCCTTTACTTAAAATTTGATTTTAATATCTCAAAGTATTGCTGTTTATCCTGTATCTCTTTTGTTTGGTGCACAATAAGTCTCTTCAGCCATTCCTTAATTCTGGGGAAATGTTAATTAGCAATTTTTCAAATATTTATTTTTTTCTTCCTTTCTAAGACCCTTTTTAACCACATATTGAAACTCGGTCTATTTTTCATGCCCTTTAATTTTTCTCTAATTTTTGACATTCTTTATCCCTTCCTGATGATTTCTGGGAATGTTTCAAACCCTATTCTAACTCATTAATTCATTAACAGTATTCATTCAACCCGTGAATTAAGCTTTTTGTTTCAACGACATCTGATTGGTATATTTTTATGACTTATTGTCCCTGTTGGTTTCCAGTGTCCTCCTAAAAGCCCTTGAGAAAATTTATTAGGATTGTTGAAAATTCTTGGTTTCTCTGGCTCGTTAGCTCTGCTCCTTTTAGAATGATTTGCTGTGTTTCTATTCACACCTTTCCGGTGCTTCATGCAGGTGTTCCACAGAGACCTCTTTATTTTTCACAGTCCTTTCAGAGCATCAGCTGTAGTTTTTATATACACTCTGGCTTTCAACCATTCTCCACTTGCTCCCAAGGCATGTCCATAATGAGATTCAAAGGAGAGAAAACCCAGTTGCTGTAAGTTCCTCCTCTCGACTCTGACTCTCCTACAGCTTAAACAGCACTTCATGTCCTCAAGAGTTAGTCTGATTAGAATTTGTTGTCTGTTCAGCTCAGTAGAATTTGACTAGCGCATACTACCAAACATTTTCCACTAGTTTGTGGAGAGAATGTTTGCTTTCAAGGTAGGGGAGGTACGTTTTTGAGAGAGAATGATAGTAATGGCCGGCATGGCACATAACTATAGAAAATGTAATTATTTCCAAAATTTCTTAGAACCATAACACTTTGTGATTATTATAGCAATTCATAGTTTTGTTCCTCCAAGGAAGGACCTCTTAATCAGTATGCCCTATATGATAATATTTTAATTTATAAAAATATTAAAATCTAGCTTGGAGTAGGCATTTGGCACATCCCACATCCCTTATTAGAGTGGCTAGGGTTCAAGTCTTGACTCAGCTCCCCATTCCAGCTTCCTGCTAATACACACCTGGCAGGAAGTAGGGATGGTTCAAGTACTTGGGTCCCTGTCTCCTACATATGGGAGGCCCAGCTTGACTTCTTGACTCACAAGCATTTGGGGAGTAAACTAGTAGATGAGATTTCTCTATCTGTTTCTCAATAAAATAAAAATAAAATTATTTTTTAAATTTTAGTTTGGAAGATGTCTTAATTGGCCAAAAATAACTGAAGAAGCCTCTTGAGTTTTACAAAACCAATTTGGATATTGTTGATTTTAAATATTATCAAAAATGTTTAGGCATGGTCTACAGAATAATTTCTGACCTGATTATATTTTATTGCTCTATTAATATTTGTTTCTGCGGGATGGGAGAGGGAGTGGGAGAGGGAGGAGAGGGCCATGGGAGGGAGGTTGGTGGGAAGAAGCCACAACAATACAAAAGTTGCATTTTATGTTCTACTTAAAACTATTGGTTGAGCTCTGTAATTAATACACAATTACTCTTAGGTGTTTAATTAATGCTATAACTAGTACTCAAATAGTATTTTACACTTTGTGTTTCAGTGTGGGTGCAAAATGTGGAAATCTTTACTTAATATATGCTAAATTGATCTTCTGTATATAAAGATAATGGAAAATTAATCTTGATGTGAAGGGAAGGGAAGAGGGAGTGGGAGAGGGGAGCATTGTGGGTGGGAGGGAAGTTATGGGGGGGGGGGGCTATTGTAATCCATAAGCTGTAATTTGGAAATTTATGTTCATTAAATAAAAAAAAATTTGTTTCTTACCTGACATCTTTACAGATGTCTAGCCTTTTTTTTTGATCTGACATTGACTTATTCAACCAATATTTGTGTTTTTTTTAAAGATTTATCTATTTATTTGAAAGTCAGAGTTACACAGAGAGAGAAGGTAGGGAGAGAGAGAGAGAGAGAGAGAGAGAGAGAGAGAGAGAGAGACATCTCCCATCTGCTGGTTCATTCCCCAAATGGCAGCAACTTCCGGAGCTTTGCCAATCTGAAGCCAGGAGCCAGGAGCCAGGAGCTTCTTCCAGGTCTCCCATATGGGTACAGGGGCCCAAGGATCTGGACCATTCTCTACTGCCTTCCCAGGCTATAGCAGAGAACTGGATCAGAAGTGGAGCAGCCGGGACTTGAACTGGTGCCCGTATGGGATGCCATCACTACAGGCAGTGGCTTTACCCCACTATGCCACAGTGCCGGTCCCTCAACCAATATTTGTTGAACACTAACCCCACTATTGTTTTAGCAGGTAAGTGCCCAGGAAAAAAGACATAGTCCCTGTCTTCACAGAGCACTAGTGTCTCACAAAGAAAAAAGTCTAATGCAGGTAGGTTCTATTAGATCAGGGATTTTTTTTTTCCCTGTGTTGTTTCTAGTATATCCCAGGCACCCACAAGAGTATAAACTTTGGTTGGATGTTAAATGAGTAAATATTGAACACTAAGTATAAGTGTATTGAAGAGAAAGTGCAGGCGTTGTGAAGCATTTAAATGGAGAGCCTAACCTGCTCTGGGGGACTGTGTAGAATTAGTTCTCCAGCAAAAGAAGACATCTGATAGAGTCATCCTTTTAGAATGATTTGCACAGATTCAGGTAAAAAAAAAAATAGAACACAGATTCCCTTCAGGCCCTCCAGTTATGCAGGGGGCCTTGAGTCGCTCTGGAATTCTCAGTATTGATTTCTGTAAGTGAGAAGCTAGGTGAATTGCTGAATAATGCCATATGTTTAAAGAAATAAGAGAAAAAGCACAGTTTAACATTGCTGATTGATTCTTCCTGTACTCCCCCACCACATTTCTTCTCTGACTTGCAGCTGAAGGAGCGTCAGTGCACCCTTGTGACGATACGTACTGCGGTCCTTTCCCAGAGTCTGAGCCAGAAGTCAAGGCTGTAGCCAACTTCCTCCGAAAACACAGAAAGCACATTAGAGCTTACCTTTCCTTTCATGCATATGCTCAGATGTTGCTGTATCCCTACTCTTACAAATACGCAACTATCCCCAATTTTAGCTGTGTGGTAAGTATTTGACCCTGTATATGTATGTCAGCCTTAATGTTTAATGATATTGGAAACACATATTGTGCTTATTCTGTTAAGTGTTTTTACATATATTCATTCATTTATTCTTAACAATAATAGGAGGTATCTTATTGTTTCCCCTTTTACAAATGAGGAATCTGAGACCCAGAGAAATAGACTAAGAATGCCCAGCATCTAAGCATCATGGCTGGAATTCATCCACTGTTCTAACTCCAGAATTGTTGCTTTTAACCACTATCCTGCTTCTCAAATGTAATCATTTCAAGTCTATTTAAATTCTTACCACAGGTTATATGGAAAAGGTCAAGATGGATTTGATTAGTATTATAGCTTGGGTCACATATGCAGAGCTATAATTAAATTTATTGAGTAAATAATTATTCATAAATTATAGTCTGGCTCTCATTAATTAAAAGCAAGCTTTAATTTATAAGCATTATTTGCTTAATGCCACTAAGTCCCTGGGCATGTATCTGACAAGTTAGTACTAAGAATGAACAGACTTTCAGGCATAAGATTACTTGAAAATGAAAAATCAGAGTTCATTTCTCTCCTTTTCTTGGAAATCCAACAAGCAATCCACTGTAGGGCATAATTCATCATAAAGTAAGTCAAAATCTAGAGGCCTATAAAGCTCAAAACCAACAAAAACTAACATACAGTGTTAGAAGTCAGAATAGCAATTACTTTTAGGGAAAAGAGGGGTAACATGCTGATTGATCTGGAGTTCCAAGAATGTGTCCGGGTCACTGATGTTGTTCTATTCCTTGACTTCAACAGTGGTTACATGAATGTGTTTGGTTTGTGATCCTTCATTGAGCTACAGACTTAATATTAGTGTAATTTGCAGTATGTGTTTTTAGGATTCTTTTCCTCTCCTTCTACCAAATGTGTGATATCTCTTTCAGTACCCCTTCCTCTGACAAGAGCTGGCTGTCCAACAATTCAATCCCATTCTGACATTGATTACCCAGAGTTAGCACCAGATTCCACAGGTTTAAGGACTCAGTCCCCCAAGTCTATTCTCATAGCTGATGTCAGTCTCAAGTAGGTAGGGGATCCCAGGTTATCCACACTTCTGTCCAAACTGGCTACAGAGTCACAGGTTCCCACCTTGGATGTTTGTTTTTTTCTTCTCCTTCTTTTTTTTTTTTTTTTTTATTTGAGAGGCAGAGAAACAAAAATAAAGAGAAAACATTCATCTGCTGATTCACTTCCCCATTGCCTACAGAGGCTGGGGCTGGGCCAGAGCCCAAGCCGGGAGCCAGGAATGCAATGCTGTCCAGGACTCCCAATTAAGTTGCAGGGACCCAAGCACTTGAGCCATCATCTGCTGCCTCCCAAGGTGTACATTAACAGGAAGCTGGGATAAGGAAGCTGATCTGGGCATCGAACCCAGGTACTCTGATATGGTGTCTTAATTGCTAGGCTAAACACTTCACCTCAGTTTTCAAAAGTTCACTAGAATGACTTGCAAAGCTTAGGAATGTGCTTTACTTACTATTACCAGTTTACTATAAAACACACAACTACAGTGAGAGATGTGCAAGGCAAGGTGAGGAGAGGGGTCAGGTGGGCGCTGACCAAAGCTTCCGTGCCTCCTCTGTGCCCTCCTCCCAGCACTTTGGTGTGTTCACCAATGCAGAAGCTCTCCAAACCCCATTGTTTAGGAGATTGCATGGAGGCCTCATTACATAGCCAGAGTTGCGTGAATCATTGCCACTGGTCATGGATTGAATTTCTGGCTCCTCTCCCCCACCTCAGAGGCTTATGATATGATTTGGACTAGCCCCTGTCCTAAAGCTACCTAGCGACCCCCAGCCAACAGTCATCTCATTAACATACGAAAGGCACTCATCACTCCAAAGGAACAATGTGCCAGAATCAGGGACAGAGACCAAATCAGAGGTTTTTTAGTACACTACAATGTTATACTTGAATGAAAGTTTTTATAAAAGAGAAGCGTCCTCTTTCTCTTTATACCTTGAACTCCAGATACTGCGCAAATTTCCTGGGATTTCAGAAATTCCTCTGTTAGATGTACAAGACCTAGAAGGAATGGGGAACATGAGGAGACTAGAAGAGGGCCTAGGGAAAGTCCAGAAAGCAACTCTGTTCTTGACATGGCAAGAATTCTGAGCAAATTCCCTGTTTAGGAATACGGTACAGGCGATAGTTATTTCTATAGAGCTATTTAGCTGCTTGGTGGGTCAATAGCTTTCTTCTTTTTGTTTTTCTTGTTGCTGCTGTTGTTTTTGTTGGCCTGGAACCTTAAAAGCCCTGTATATCAATATTTCTGTGGGAAAATGTTCCTAAATGGGCATAATACTTATGTTTTTACAACAAATGAGGTGGAATAACAAACATATTAAAACTATTGGCCGGCGCCTCAGCTCACTAGACTAATCCTCCACCTGCAGTGCCTGCACCCCGGGTTCTAGTCCTGGCTGGGGCGCCGGTTCTGTCCCGGTTGCCCCTCTTCCAGTCCAGCTCTCTGCTGTGGCCCGGGAAGGCAGTGGAGGATGGCCCAGGTCCTTGGGCCCTGCACCCTCATGGGAGACCAGGAGGAGGCACCTGGCTCCTGGCTTCGGATTGGTGCAGTGCTGCCTGTGGCGGCCATTTTGGGGGGTGAACCAACGGAAGGAAGACCTTTCTCTCTGTCTCTCTCTCTCACTGTCTAACTCTGCCTGTCAAAAAAAAAAAAAAAAAAACTATTACGTGAGAATGTTCTCCATATTTTAGATTCATCCTCCCACCATGAGTTCGGCCTATCTTCCCTTTGTCTTATATCCGAGGATATGGATAAAGATAGATCAGTGGTTTACAACCACAGATGATTTTGCCTCCCAACAGACATTTGGCAATCTCTAGAGATATTCTTGATTATCATAACAGTTATAAGGGATCTTATTACATCTAGTGGGTAGAGGGCAAGGATGCTACTAAACATCTTATAAAGTACAGGATGGGGCCCCCACAGCAAAGAATTAGTCAGTCTCTAACTGCCAATTGTGCCATGTTGAAAAATCTTGGAGTGGGCTAAGCATAAACCAAATCATAAATCTAAGATTATAATTCTCAAAACCTTCATTATTCCCTGAATGTTAACTAGAAGCCATTAAATCCTATTAAAAATTATTCAAAACCATCCCATTCATGTGTAAGAGACTGTGTTTCTGCTAACATTTAAGCCATTCTTTAAGTTGCTTTAAATATAGAAATATTTAAATAAAAATATACTCCTTACTAAGCTGAGGACTAGGAGGAGATGGGGGCTAGGTCCTTTCAGACAACTGGAAAAAGAAAATAATGGAGAAAGGAGGAATCACTAAGCATACTCTTGTAAGAAAAGATTTACTTTACTTATTTAAGGCAGAGTTAGAGACAGGGAGAAACGAGAGAGAGAGAGAGTGCTTCCATCCACTGGTTCCTTCCCCAAATGGTCACAATAGCCAGGGTAGGCCAGGCCAGTGTCTGGAGCTTGAACTTCATCCAGGTCCCCCACATGGTTAGCAACTTTCTGGGCCATCTTGCCATCTTCCTCTGCTTTTCCAGGCACAATAGCAGGGAGTTGGATCAGAGTGGGGCAGCCGGGACTTGAACAGGCACCCATCTGAGATACTGGCATCACAGGTTGTGGCTCAATCCACCATGCCTTGACACTGGCCCCTAAGTAAATTCCTTCAAATAGGTATCCAGCTGTTCCACCCTAGAAAATAATTCTTGCAAAAATAGATAAAATTCCTACTCTTTTGTTAAATAGCTTATCAACATGTACCTCTACCTGAACAGCAGAAGTGCTATGACATCAAAACACTAAAACTATGCATACGCTTTGTGTGAAGTAAGTAAAGTGGTTATCTTTTTGTAAAATACATTTTTAACTTGGGTTCCATCATTAAAGCAATGAGGAACAAAGATCTCCGCACCATCAGAATGCAGTAAACTTCTAAATGTAGAAATATCTGCTTTTGCCATGGACTATTGCTACACCCATTGGAGGAGATGTTCAAATCTCAGAACATTCTCCACAAAGATGTATCATTATGGTATTTACATTCCTTTTCTGTTGGCTACCGCAAGAAGAATGTCATCACCAGTGAGTTCAATAATAAAGAGACTGCCAGCTCCTGCAGCCTGGTCCTTGAATATTCACAAAGGGTGGCATTTGCTACAAAATCTACCTTTTGCATCCCTGAGCTGAAAGAGGGCAGCAGTGTGAACACACACCACCATGTTGTCTGGGGTTCTTCAATTAAAGTATTAAATTATTCATAAGCAAATTGAAATGGGAGATTTGTATACTGGTTTCAGCATACTTCTTTTCGTTTCCCTGGTCATCCAATACTTCTCTACCTCCTTTTTGAAACTAGGGCTTTTATACCGTCTGGAAATGTTTTAGTGGAGAGTCAGGCTCATTCCCATTCATGTTAGAATATCCCCCCTTTTAGTAATTAGATTGTGTCAAGTGTTTTCCTAATTTTTGACATTAGTAGGAAGAGTTCCAGCTTTGAATTGCTGCATCTTAGTGTACCTGATCTAACAGTGTGAGAAGCTCCTGTAACCTTAGAGGTCATGTTTGAAATGGTTGCTCCCATTCCCAGGAGAGATAGACACATAGGACAAGTCATTCTTACTGAATTGAAGCGTTTCTTAATTGACTCAGCTATGTTATAAATACCTTGTACATATCCACTGAAACATACACTCAAGAACCAATATAATTCTTCCTTAAATTTTTTTTATTTATTTGAAAGGCAGAGAAACAGAAATTCCCCCATTCACTGGTTCACTCCCCAAAATGCCCACAACAGTTGGCACTGAGCCATGCCAATGCCAGGAGCCCAGAATTCAACCCAGGTCTCCCACATGGGTGTTAGGGACCCAGCCACTTGAAAAATCACCTACTGTCTCTGAGGGTGTACATCATCAGGAAGCCGGAGACAGAAGCAAAGCTAGGACACAATCTCGGGCACTCTGATATGGGATGCAGGTGTCCTAAGCAGAGTCTTAACTACTGCAGCAAATATTCATCTCCAACATGATTATCTCAGTACCCCTGCAAAGTCATGCTTATTCAACATGCATATAAAATATATTTAAGTATCTCTTATATACAAGCACATTGCTAAATATGAGTTAAGTATAAAACTGACAAACATTTTATAATTTGTAGAAATAGGTTTATCTGAGCTAAAGTGAAGACAACAGAACACTAGATCAGCCTCTAAAAATATGGGTACTTATGCCAGCTCAATCTTTGTGCTGTGTCACCCCAGCATACCCACTTAACCTCACTGAGCCTTCCTTTTCTCACCTGTAAAATGGAACTATTACTGATCACTAGCTTGTTGTGGGTATGTATCAAATGACGGAAATGTATTCTAAAACATGTTGCAAAATAGAGCATGAATAAGAGTAATATGATGTTATTATGAAATATATCTGTTAACTAACATGTTCCTCATTGTTCATGCTGGTGTTTCTGAAAGTTTCAATGCAAGAATATAGGGATATAGTATCTCCATTTTCCATTACAGGAATATGCAGCTTATAAAGCTGTGAAAGCACTTCGGTCCGTGCATGGGGCACAGTACAAATATGGACCTGCCTCAAGAACCTTGTGTAAGTTTCCTGTGTACGTTGTATTAGGATCCTCTCTCTTGAACCAATATCCTGTATCATGACTTCCCTTTAAAAAGAAGAAAGTGGGTTCTCCCTAAAGTGAAACTTTTAGGAACTATCAAATTAGCCAAGGAAGATGGAGGGAGTTTACATCTGATTAGTTTTACACAGCTTGACAGAAATCACTGTACCAATTTAAACAAATTCTAAGCAGAGACTATGCTAAGCATGCAGTAATGAGTACAAGTTGAACTGAGATCTATGACAGTAGAAAGTACCAAAATGGGCTCCTTAAGCAATTGTAGCTACTGTGAGGGTGGAAATGGGCCTTGGGATGATAATGAAGTAAATGTGTCAGCCCTGCAACAGCTTCCATTTTGTTCTTTCCCCACGATTCTTGTTATAAAATACTACTCCTGACCTAGCAGCTTCAGGTGAATTTTCCCTTAAAAACTGATGTTAAGTATTTTTTCTATTATATGAAATAAAGAGCCAATGAGTATATGGAAAGAACTTGAACAGAGTCATAAGTTGTGGATTGAGTCCTAGTTCTGCCAGGTATGTCATCCTGGCCAAGACATTTATCAATCCTGGGCTTCCATTTCTACCACTGTAACACGAAAAATTGCCCTGGGTTAGTTGGCATGGCCTTTGGAACTCAAAAATTCATTTACTGTGTTTGGAAAATATAATAAGAAATCAAGTATATCTGACTATGTGTGCATATGAAGATGAACACACATACTTGCTGTGTGTATGTTTATATATCTTATATATGCTGTGACGTCTCATTATACTCCCCCCTGAGGTAGTACATTTCTTGATTTCTTTAATCTACTTGTCATTATATTCCTGATGTCTTACCATTCAGAAGAAAAGCTTAGTGTCATAAGCCTTCAGAAGAAAAGCTTAGCGTACCAATTAACATTGTTTGTCAAATAAGTTTATCCTAATAATGAGAGTGTCACACGTATCAGTAGGTTTGTTTTTCCAAGTCCTTGATTACTGGTCTCATGCTGACATTTTTTTAACTGTTTTTCAATAGTCATCCTGATGGAGGGGAAAATATAGCATTTTACAAAATCACATTACCACCGAATATCCACATAATATTTATAGAAATGTTAGTAACATAGTTTACTTTTGCAGCTAGGTACAAAGGCACAATCATAGTATTATATTTGCTGAGAGCTATCTGTTACCATAGAAACGAGCCTGTCGCATCACCATGACGTAATAAGTGTCAGCACACATTGTCTCTGACTTTGGCTACCATGACTACTGTTTGTTGTTCCAGTGAACTCTAACCAGAGGGACACAGAAGCCACAACCTATCTTCTGTCCTTATTCAAAGCAAAGGGAATCAAAAGCAGCAGAATCATTTAACTGTTACCATCACATAAAGATTCCAACTCTACCTTGTCCTAGGACACATTATATATTATATTTATTATATTACAACATTGTCATAAAAGGTATTATTATTTGAGTAAATGAACATGCTCTGGAAATGTAATAATAAAATCACATTATAGCAAACTGGATCATATAAATTTCAGAAAAAAGTATACAAAGATTTTTCTTTGAGGTATTTATCCTTTTAATAAATGACTAAGAGTCCATTACGCTAAAAATGACATACTACACACTTTGGGGTGTAAAGATGCAAAATAACAACTAATATATCGTAAGCACTTTCTAGTGTTCTATTAGTTCATTTAATTTTCACAATAGCTGTGTGTAGCTCGTATTATCAATGTCTTTTTCAAAAAGAGAGGGACAAGTGTTTGGCACATTGGTTAAGCTGCTTCTTGGGATGATGCCACCCTACATCAGAGTACCTGGGTTGGAGTCTCAGTACTGCTCCTGATTCTACCTTCTTGCTAATATACTCTCTGGGAGGCCACAAGTGATGGCCCAAGTAATTGGGTCCCTGCCACCCACATGGGAGACTCAGGTTGAGTTCCTGGCTCCTGGACTCAGCCTGGCCCAGCCTCTAGGTTTGGACATTTGGGGAATGAACCAGTGGATGGAAGATCTCTGGCTGTCTGTCTCTCACTCCCCACTCCCTTTCCTTCACTCCCTCCCTTTCTCTCTGTTTCTCTCTCTCTTCTCTGTCTCTCTGCCTTCAGATAGACAAAAGTAAATTTAATTCTTAAATAAAAAAGAAGCAGAGACCAAGGCACAGGGAAGTCAGGTAGTAGGATTGGATACTGCCCACACCAGCAGTCTATCTTCGGCACCTGTGCTTTCTCCTGGGGGAGGTCACAGGAGCCGGGAGAAGAGTGTTGCCAGTACAGATTGTTCAGCCATATTAAGTTCAGTGATGTTGAGTGCTATGGAGAAGTGCAAAGGAGGGCCTGAAGGGAAAACAAAAACCAGAAAAGAACATTGGACGCAATCGTTGACAACCTTTAAGAGCAAAATGTAATAGGTAGAGGCACTAACCAGGCTGAAAGTGGTTCAGGATTTAGAAGCAACACAGAGGGATTCTCCTTTGAATCCTAAAGCAAAAGGAAAGAGAAAAAGAGCACGGTAACCCAGAGTATATAGCAGAACCATGAGAAGGAAGTGCTAAAAGAAAGGTGGCCTTGGAGTGGGCATTGGGGTAGAACAGATTAAGTTGCCACTTGGGATGCCCACATCCCACATTCAGGAGCCTGCTTCAAGTTCCAGCTTCTGTACTTCTGATCCAGCTCCTGCTGATAAGTCTTGGATCAGCAGACGATAAATCGAGTGATTGGGACCCTGCCACTCATGTGGGAGACCTGTGAGGAGGTCCTAGCTCTTGGTTTCTGCCTAGGTTAGCCCCAGATACTATGAATAGTTAGGGAGCAAACCAGCAGATAGAAGATGTCACTTTGTTTTTCCCTCTCTCTGTCACTCTGACTTTCAAATAAATAAATTTTAATGATTATTTAAAACTATAACATTATAAAAATAAGGGAGTCCTTGAGTCTCTTGGTCAATGCAGGTGCGAGAGAGGGAATGAATCCATGAAACGAGGTCCTAGAAAAAGCATTATCTCATGCCCAGAAAACACAATAGCAAATGGTATCAAGAGGTGATGCACACAGAAAACAAACAACGCTTTCCCTCTGAGCTAGATGGAGAAGAGGCAGAGGGCTCTGTTAGTAGAGGAAGTGACGGGGGAAAGTGGCAAAGTGAGGGGCAGGACGGAAGAGAATGGAAAAGGTTCTGTAAGTAAAAAGCTATACAGAAGAGTGTGAGCAGCATGGGGAGAAGAAAAAGACATTGTGATTAGACTGTGAACTCACAGGATATCTACTCAGCCAAAGCTTTCTCTAGGGGTGGGTGTTTGATGCAGTGGCTTGTGTCACCACTTGGCATGCCTGCATCTCATTTTGTAGTGCCCGCTTCAAGTTCTGGCTCATCTGTTTCCAATCCAGCTTCCTGATAATATACATCCTGGAAAGCAGCAGTGATGGCTTCAGTGCTTGGGTCCCTGCTACCTACATGAAAGCCTCAGATTGAGTTCCAGGTTCCTGCTCCAGCCTGGCTCAGCCCCAGCTGTTGCAGGCAGTTAAGGAGTGAATGAGCGGATGGAAGGTATCTCCCTGTGTGTCTCTCTCTCACTCTCTGTCTGTTTGCCTTTCAAATAAAATGAAAATAAATAAATAAATATATCTTTTTTTTTAATTTTCAACAGGCAGAGTGCACAGTGAGAGAGAGAGAGACAGAGAAAGGTCTTCCTTTTGCCATTGGTTCACCCTCCAATGGCCGCCGCGGCTGGAGCGCTGCGGCTGGCACACTGCACTGATCCGAAGCCAGGAGCCAGGTGCTTCTCCTGGTCTCCCATGGGGTGCAAGCACTTGGGCCATCCTCCACTGCACTCCCAGGCTACAGCAGAGAGCTGGCCTGGAAGAGGGGCAACCGGGACAGAATCTGGCGCCCCAACCGGGACTAGAACCTGGTGTGCTAGCACCGCAAGGCGGAGGATTAGCCTACTGAGCCCCGGTGCCGGCCTAAATCTATCTATTAAAGGACTTTCTCTAGCACATTCACGTAGAGGTAGAAACTGGACTAAGGGTTGAGGATTGGCAACACAAAGGCAGAATAGAGACAGAGAAGATATGGTTTAAGGATCTGGTGAGAAATTCAATGAAATAATGACCATGACCAAGCAGAGAGTCAAATAAAACTATATGAATGCAGGGAGGAGTCTGGAAATTACAAACCTGAGACAAAAACCAAATTTTGCAGAAGTTGGAATATAGGGGAGGTAGGAGAAATGAGGCTTTTGGGCCATAGAATTTTATTCTCAACCTTGGAAGTGGAGAAGAACTGAATGATAAGAACTAAAAAAAGAAAAAGAAAAGGGGAAGACATTTGGCCCAACAACTACATTGCCACTTGGGATGCCCCCTGATAACAGAGAGCCTGATTCAAGTTCCAACTCCTTCCCTTCTGGCCCAACTTCCTGCTAATGTACCCTGGGAAGTAGCAGATGATGGCTCAAGTACTTGGTTTCCTGCCGCTCGTGTGGGAGACTCCAGGAAAGTTCCAGACTCCTCGCTTCAACTCAAGTCAGTTCTGTCCGTTGCTGACAGTTGAAGAGAGAACCAGCAGGTGGAAGATCTCCCTCTGTCTTTCCTACTCTCTGCCTTTCAAATAAAATGGAAATACATATTTTTAGAAGCCCTTGGTGTAGGTCACTTATGTGTAAATGAAGTGAAGGAGGAGATAAATGTTATTAGAATTAAGTTGATTTTGAGGTCATCATCCTGGCAAAACATTAATACTTAGTCTAGATCCTCAAAGATGTCAGCAAGTATGATTCACAAGTCCCATGAGCCAGACGCCAAGGAATAACTTTTAAATCATGCTTTTGAAGGGGTGTTTCATTGAAGGGATTTAGTACAGCTTAATAAGCAAGTTCTGTGTATACATTTAGAAAAATTAGACTGTCTAGTGAGGCTAACTTTTATTTTTTAACTTTTAGATGTGAGCTCTGGGAACTCAATGGATTGGGCCTACAAAAATGGAATACCCTACTCATTTGCCTTTGAGTTACGTGACACGGGGCATTTTGGATTTTTACTCCCAGAGATGCTCATCAAACCTACCTGTACAGAGACCATGCTGGCTGTGAAGAATATCACAATGCACCTGCTAAAGAAGTGTCCCTGAGAGGGCCCCAGCAGCACGTCACCTTTCAGAGAGAGATTTGAGCCTCTGCAATAACTATTTGGTGCTGGTGGAAATTGTTTTTGAAGAGAATGCGGAACAGGCACTGCTGCTTGGAACACCCACATCCCATGTTGGAATGCCTGGGATTGAGTCCATCCTCCACCTCTACTTCAAAACCAGCTCCCTGCTAATGCATCTAGGAGTGAGCAGATGATGACTCAAGTACTTGGGTCACTGCCACCTATGTGGGAGACCTGGATTGAGTTCCAGGCTCCTAGCTTTAGCCCAGTCCAATGCTGGCTCTTGCAGACATTTGAGGAGTGAACAAGTGATGATGAAAGACTCTGTGTGTGTGTATGTGCGTACGTGTGGGGAGCAATCCGGACTAGACTAAGTTGCTCGAATTAGGACTTATTCTATGCATCTGCTCTCCCACAATATGGCGCTGGGAGAGAAGTAAACAGCTTCCGCACAGCTGCCTCCAGTTCAACCAATTAACTGTAGGACTTGCTCCTGATTGGAGAGCAGCGTACTCAGCCGAGTTGGGATTGGCGGAGGAGGACTATAAAGGAGGAGAGAGACGGCATGCACCAGGAACATCTATGGGGAACATCTAAGGGAACCCGTGCAGCCCCCGAGAGAACCGGCCGGCGGTGTGCCGCTCCCCTGCGGAAGTGGGGAATGCGGCCAGGGGGAACTGCCCTTCCACGGAGGTGGAAGGGATAGTAGCCAACCCGGGAAGAACCAGCAGCAAACCCGGGGAGGGCCGAGCAGACGAAAGAACAGCGCAGGGTTCAGTGTTGCTCCTCCACGAAGAGGGGGAGCGACATAATGGTGCCGTGACTCGGATAGGAAACCTGACTCGGATAGGAAACTTAGGAGGGAAGAAATGACTCGGATAGGAAACTTAGGACGGATATGAAACTTAGGAGGGAAGAAACGGGAAGAACTAGGGAAAATATCGGAGAGAGAAACTAGCAAACAGCCTAGGGAAAAGCCGGACGAAAAAGGAGCCGGAAGAAGCTATTGAAAGCCTAGGCATAGACTCGAAACAGCCTAGGGAAAAGCCGGACGAAAAAGGAGCCGGAAGAAGCTATTGAAAGCCTAGGCACAGACTCAGACGCGGACTGTGGGGAGAGGCCAGAAAGTGAAAGCTAGAACAAACAGACTCGGACGCGGACTGTGGGGAGAGGCCAGGAGAAATGAGGGAGGAGTATTGTTGGAGGAAAGCTTGGGGAAACATACCGGGTAGAGAAAAATGTTAGGGAAATTGAAGCCGCGGGGGGCAGGCCAAGGCGGAAACGAAAGCCACTTTGGGATTCTCAAGTTAGCCCGGGAATAGGGGGCGAAAAGTTAAAACCAGAAGCTGAGACGCAAGCCAGATTGGGATCCGTCTGATTAGCCCGGGGAGCAAAGGACGGGAAGCCAAACCGTGGGGCGGAGACGTACGCTGGGTTGAATTCGCCAGGCTAGCCCGGGGAACTTAGATTGAATCCTAGTGGCGGAGACGCAAGCTACGCTGTGTTACTCGCGGAAGCCGCCGCGTGCAGAGAGAGCACGGGGCGTGAATAGATAGGGAACGCTGGCGTAGGCCGTGGTTCAGACGCGAAAGGGTTAAGCGTGGAGACCGCGGAGCGCGCGAACCCGAGCCGCGCAAAGCCGGGAAGCTGCGCAGATGAGAGAGGCGCGCGGGCTGAAGCGGCGCAGAGCCAGGAACCCGCCGGCGGGGCGAGGTGCCGGAAAGCCGCAGGGATAAGAGAAACAGAAGTTTGGAAGTGAAGTAAAAGAGAAATGGGAATGCTGGAAGATAGAAGTGAAATGGGAGAGGTAGGAATGCCCGGAGATAGAGAAATAGAGAAAAATAAGGCCTCCCCTCAACATGCCAATTAGAAGGCTTGGATTCGGTCTGCCCGATTAGTGAGGCGATGAGCACCTGGGCGGCTAGCCGCAGGTCATCGAAGACAAGCACGAATTAACATCAGTAAAGCTTCCCCACAATGCAACAATTAGGAGGCTTGGATTCGGTCTGCCTGATTTAAGGCGGTAAGCGCCAGCAAAGCTCGACCAGAGTATGAGCTGCAGGTCACCGAAGATAGGCACGAACCAACACTAATAAGTCTCCCCCACAATAAGGCAATGAGAAGGCTTGGATTCGGTTTGCCTGATAGGTTTTGTAAGCCCCTGCGGGCAGAGCAGAGCATGCGCTGCAGGGCACCGAACACAGGCACGCATCAGCGCCTAAAAACCTCCTCACAATGGCGAAGAGAGGACCCGGATTCGGTTTTCCTGATTGATAGGACTTGTAAGAGCCTGTGGCAACTCTAGCAAGTACAGCAGAGTGTGTGCTGCGGGACACCGAAGACAGGCGCGTATCAACGCCAAAAAATAAAAAGAAAGGGGGATCTGTGGGGAGCAATCCGGACTAGACTAAGTTGCTCGAATTAGGACTTATTCTATGCATCTGCTCTCCCACAATATGGCGCTGGGAGAGAAGTAAACAGCTTCCGCACAGCTGCCTCCAGTTCAACCAATTAACTGTAGGACTTGCTCCTGATTGGAGAGCAGCGTACTCAGCCGAGTTGGGATTGGCGGAGGAGGACTATAAAGGAGGAGAGAGACGGCATGCACCAGGAACATCTATGGGGAACATCTAAGGGAACCCGTGCAGCCCCCGAGAGAACCGGCCGGCGGTGTGCCGCTCCCCTGCGGAAGTGGGGAATGCGGCCAGGGGGAACTGCCCTTCCACGGAGGTGGAAGGGATAGTAGCCAACCCGGGAAGAACCAGCAGCAAACCCGGGGAGGGCCGAGCAGACGAAAGAACAGCGCAGGGTTCAGTGTTGCTCCTCCACGAAGAGGGGGAGCGACACGTACGTGCACCTGCCATTCTGGCTTTCACATATATTAAAAAAATGAAAAAATTTTTTAAAAAAATAAAGAGAAGTTGTTTGGAGTAAACATATCTATTAATTTCAAAAAATACTTTCTCATACAATTCAGCTCTGTGACAATAGAAAACAGTAAAAATTAGGGAATAGCCTAATTTGTTAAAAGAGAAAATACCTGTTCTATATCCATTTTGAGTTATTTTTGATTACAGGGAAAGGGGTGTTTCCAAATTCTGTTTCACAAAAGGCATAAATTAATTGAGAGTTTCCCTTCAATAAACCCCATGTTCTCAATGAAGATCTAGGCTACTAATGATGTTTAGTTACTTGGTTCTCATTTGAAATGGAAATTTTTAAAATGGAAGGGACCAACTATATTTCTTAATATAGTAAGCATATAATGTGTCAGGACCTCAGATTATTCATATCCTCTTCATTTCCTGGTTTTTATGTGCCATATGCTTATTAAAAAAAGGAAAATACTGCAACTCATTTTTAGACTTTGAGAATGTCATATGTCACTTTAAAAAAAAAATGAGTAAGCTGGCCAGCACTGTAGCAAAGAGTGGGTTAGGCCACAGCTCACGACACCACCATCCCGTATTGGAGAACCAGTTTGAGTCCCAGCTGCTTGGCTTCTGAGCCAACTATCAGCTAATGTGGCCGGGAAGGCAGTAGTACATAATCAGATAGTCATCTGATTATCTGATCTATTTATCTGATTTTTATGATAATCACATGATGTCCCTGCCACTCATGTAGGAGACCTGTATGGAGTTTCTGGCTCCTGGCTTCACCATTGAAGTCATTTGTTGAGTGAACCAATAGATGACAAATACTTCTCTTTCTCTGCCTCTATCTCCCCCTTCCTCCCCCCTTCCCTCCCTCAATTTCAAATAAAAGTGAAGATAAATGTTTACAATGAATAAACAGTTAAGAGCTTTACAGTTAGTAATAATCTCACTTAGGCTTCACAGTACTATGAAGAGAATACTATTATCCTCATTTTTCAGATGAGGAAATTGAGCTTTAGAAAGGTGACATAGACTTTCATTTCCAGGAAGATGATAGAATAGGTATCTGAACTGCTGGAAATAACTAAAATCATCAAACAAGGAAGTAAGGCAATCCAAGGCTATGGATGACGTGCAGACAGGACCCTTGAAAGGTAAGTGTTACACTGTTTTCCTAAGCCCATTTGTCAAACCAGTGGAGTACAGGCTTTGATTTTCACAGCATTTTGAGGACAAAGCCCATAACTACAAGGTGGAAAGTCTGATTAATTCTCCTCTTACCAGATTATAGGCTTCCAAAGAGTTATATCTTCCGAGGCTGGTGCTGTGGCATAGCAGGTAAAGCTACCACCTCCAACATCAGCATCCCATAAGGGTATCAGTTTGTGTCCTTTACTATCAAGCTCCCTGCTGAATGACCTAGGAAAGCAGTGGAAGATGGCCCAAGTGCTTGAGCCCCTGCCACCCATGCGGGAGACCTAGATGAGGCTCCTGACTCCCTGCTTTGCTTTGGCCTAAATCAGCCCTGGCTGTTGCAGCCATGTGGGGAGTAAACCAGTGGGTGGAAACTCTCTTTCTCTCTCCCTCCCTCCTTCTGCCCCTCCCTCCCTCTCTTGCTATAATTCTGTCTTTCAAATAAATAAATGAATCTTTAAAAATAAATAAATAACATAAAATAAAAAAAACTATACCTTCAGTGTAAGAGTAAATTAGAAAGAGACCCCTATAGCACTTCAAGTGGATCACATGAGAAATAAACCATTTCAAACTTGGGCGGGAGTAGAGAAGAGAAATATTTCCACTGAGAATTTGAAACAATGAGTCAGCCCTCACATAAAATTGTGGCCCAAATTCAGACTACCTAAATGGTCTGATAAACTTGTAGCCAGGAGTTTAATTCAGATTAAATTCAGATGGTAATACCCCCAAGTATTTGGTAGAAGCAATGGAAATCCTCTTAAGGATCTATCTATCCAAGACTATCATGAACTGCAGGATAAATAGATGAACCATAAAACTTCCAGAGGGACACGAAAAGAAAGATCACAGGCAAAGCAATGAAGGCCTTCTCAACAGCAACACCAAAGCTTGCAAACGATGGAGAGCAACTGTCTTCAGAGGTTTGAGGGGAAGTTATACAAATGTATCAATGACATATGGGAGCTGAATATAGATGTTTTCACAAAAATGAGGTCATAAATTGTTTACCCTTCTCTGGAAACACCTGGAAAATATTCTCTACCATGGTAGAGAGACTAAATGTTCTCTACCATGGTAGGGACTAAACCAAGAGAAAGATGTGAGATCCAGAGACACAAGGAATCCAACAAAGGAAACAAGCCTGGGGGAAAAAATCTGGAGATAATTATGGAGGGGAAAATAATACACAGAAGCTCCTCAGCTTATTATGGTGTTCCATGTTGATAACCCCACTGGAAGTTGAGAATACTGCAGAGTGAAAATGTGTTTAAAGCACCAAACCTACCGCTCACCCTGGCTCTGCAGCAGAGTACTCTGTAGGGCATCGGTGGTTTCCACTCAAGACTGCATGGAGGCCGGCGCTGCGGCTCACTAGGCTTATCCTCCGCCTTCGGCGCCGGCACACCGGGTTCTAGTCCCGGTCAGGGCGCCGGATTCTGTCCCGGTTGCCTCTCTTCCAGACCAGCTCTCTGCTGTGGCCAGGGAGTGCAGTGGAGGATGACCCAAGTGCTTGGGCCCTGCACCCCATGGGAGACCAGGATAAGCACCTGGCTCCTGCCATGGGATCAGCGCGGTGCGCTGACCGCAGCGCACCAGCCACGGCGGCCATTGGAGGGTGAACCAACGGCAAAGGAAGACCTTTCTCTCTGTCTCTCTCTGTCCACTCTTCCTGTCAAAAAAAAAAAAAAAAAAAAGACTGCATGGCTGCCTGGGGGCCTAAGCTCCTTGCTGGCACTCACCATTACCGGAGTGCATCAGAGAGCCCAGTGCTAGCATTGGAGAAGACTCCAATTCAAACCATGAAGTACAGCTTCCATGTATAGCTTTTACGGCATCATGAAATCAAAAAATCCCAAGCAGACCCATGGTAAGTCAAGGACTATCTGTGGAGTGTAGTTAAATGCTGATTTAATCCAGGATTGTGATACATACATGTATGTGTTGGGGGCAGTGGTTGTTAACGAGCTAAATCCTTGTCTTCTATAGAAGGAAGTCAGCAGACAATCTCTAAGACTAAAAAACCAAGAAATATCTGCATATTCTTGATATTTACAAATAAGAAATTAAACACACAGATAACTAAAAAGATTAAAAATTATTGGAATCATGAGAAAACTGGCACTGAGGAGGGACAGAGCCGAAGACGTTTTTGTTATAAGCTTTTTGTCATATTATTTGACTTGTTTTTTAATTTATGAAGCATATACCAAATATTATATTCCTTTTAGAAGAAAGTAATAATTATTTAAAACTCCTAACTATTCACCACCCTGTCTTTACGATGTTTATAAATGTATGTTGTTTCTACATCCTTATTCAATTTTTAAAATATATTAGATAAATTATAGGTGAAGTACATAGTACAGAAATTAGGCTGTTATAAATAATAAGGAAATATTTTGTGTATGTTTTATAAATCTAATTTAAGTTTTATCATATAGTCCCAGTGATATGAGGAAAATGTGTATTATGAAAAAACTGTTTTCTAAAAATTTTATTTTATTTTATTTTTTTAAAGGCAGTGCTACAAAGAGGGAAGACAGAGAGAGAAAGAGAGAGTTCTTCCATCTACTGGTTCATTTCCCAAATGATCACAACAGCCAGTTCTAGGCCAAGAAAAGCCAGGAGTCAAGAACTTCATCCTGGTCTCCCACAGGAGTGGCAGGGTTCCAAACACTTGGTCCATCTTGCACTATCTACCCCCCAGGCACTTTTGCAGGAAGCTGGATTGAAAGTGGAGAACCCAGGTCTCAAACTAGCACTCTGATATGAAATGCCAGCAATGTAAATATCAGCTTAATCCTTGGTGCCAAACACTGGCCAAAGATTTCAAATTGTTATGCACCAAAATAAACTTTTAAAAAAGTTATTTGTTTGAGAGGCAATGATATAAAGAGAAACAGAGCTCCCATCAGTTTGTTCACTACCCAAACGCCCACAACAGAGGCCAAGCCACCATCCAAACCAGTAACAGGGAACCCAATTCATCTTTGATGGGAAGCTGGGGTCTGGAGCCAAAAATCAAACCCAGGCACTCAAATGTGAATGCGGACATCTTTTTTTTAATAAAAAGATTTATTTTTTATTTACCTGAAAGGCAGAATTACAGAGAGAAAGAGAGAGAGAGAGAGAGAGAGAGCGAGCTTCCATCCGCAGATTCACTCCCCAAACGGTAGTAATGGCTAGGCTGTGCCAGGCCAAAGCCAGGAGCCAGGAGCTTTTTCCAGGTCTCCCATGTAAATGGCAGAGGTCTAAAGACTTGGAGCATCTTCCACTGCCTTCCCAGGCGCATTAGCAGGGAGCTGGATCAGAAGGGGAGCAGCCAAGACTTGAACTGGTCCCCATATGGGATGCCAGCATCGCAGGCAGCAGCTTAACCCATTACAACACAACACCCCAGAACACAAGAATCTTAACCATTAGACTAAGTGCCCACTCCTACAAACTTATCTTGTAGTTCCATTTCTCAACGTTTTGAAGCATATTTGCAGGAATGATCCTGGGCAAGTTTAAGGCTTTGTCTTGTTGTTATGTATTTTACTTCTTGACAGGCAGAGTGGACAGTGAGAGAGAGAGAGACAGAGAGAAAGGTCTTCCTTTGCCGTTGGTTCACCCTCCAATGGCCGCCGCAGCCGGTGCACTGCAGCCGGCGCACCGTGCTGATCCAATGGCAGGAGCCAGGTACTTATCCTGGTCTCCCATGGGGTACAGGGCCCAAGCACTTGGGCCATCCTCCACTGCACTCCTGGGCCACAGCAGAGAGCTGGCCTGGAAGAGGGGCAACCGGGACAGAATCTGGCGCCCCGACCAGGACTAGAACCCGGTGTGCTGGCGCCGCAAGGCGGAGGATTAGCCT